ATGAAAGCTTGGGAGGCCCCCCAAGCCCTGCATCATCCCCACAGCCTGGGGCCTGCTTGCAGCCTCTCAGAACCTATTATTTAGGGGCTGTCTGTGTTGCCCTATCAAACCACACCTCCCTCCTCACCTTCTGCGTTTGCTCACCTAGTCACTGCCTTTCCCCGCGAGATGGGAGGCTGCATCAAAGCACGTGGAAGCATCGGTGGGTATTACTTCCCCTCCTCTCTTGGTTGAGCATTATTTCGAGACCTGATATGTGCATCTACTTTAATTAATTGTGAAGTATATATCTTGGCCCTGGCCAGATAACTCAGTTGGTTAAAGTGTCATCCTGATACGCCAAGGTTGCAGGTTCGATATCTAGTCAGGGCACATACAAGAATCAAACAATGAATGTATAAATAAGTGGAACAATAAATTGATGTTTCTCTCTCTCTTTCCCTCCTCTTCCTCTCTCTCTAAAATCAATAAATAAGAAATTTAAAAAGCATGTATCTTACAAGGCAATTCTTTGCTCTTTGAAGACATTTTTAGAGAAAAATCATTATAAAATTAACATGGTGATTAGGAAGCAAGGCAAGCATGCACTATCCTGTATAAACTCAGCTGCATTTTCTTGTGAAAGGAAGACTTTAAACTCATTTTCAAAATGCTACGAACAGCTCATTTGGGCCATTACCACTTGCCCTCTGTCCTCTTTACAAGTTCCAAGTTACTTTGTATATTTGCCTCATAGAACAATTGGGCTCCACTCTGGAGATTCTCCGTGGCATGAATAACTAATTGAAATGCGACCCCAGAGGAAGCAGCCTTGCCCCAGAACCTCAATCTTCCTCAGAGCATCCACTGTTAAAGTAGGTGTCAGGATGCTGCTGAGGTCCTAAATCAACTCAGACAAGGAGGATTTTTACAAAACTCGTTTGAAAAGCATTTTCACTGACTACAGTATTTTATATTTGAGGCAGGGGCAGAAGAGGAGGAGGTTAAATCAGGGATAATGACACACAGTTTTAACATTACAATGACAGTTGCATGATTTTTTTTGGCAGTGCTGCCTGCCCAGTGTTGAAATAAAGTTTTCATATAAAGATATCCACAGATCAGAATTTTCTGACCCTGCACAATTGAACAATTTGATTTAGTAAATGTTTATGGAGTTCCTGAGGGCAGAGCTGCTTAATTTGAGATGCAAGAAAACCCACACCATCCAGGATGTTTCTTAAAAATACACATTTCTGAGACCTACTTTAGATCTGCTGAAACAATCTTCCAGGGGTGATGATACAAATAGATCTGTATCGACCTGCCAGACCATGGGGCAGAGGAGGGGCCGAGTGAGAAAGGGGTTGCAGGAAATGCAGGGCACAGAATGACAGATTTCCCTAGCATCCGGCACAGATTCACTGGGAGGGGGCCGTGAACAACGTCTGCAGGAAGGTGATTGAGGAAAGGAAAAGGCCTCCTACCCATTTCTGAACTTGACAGCAGGGGGAGGTACTGACCCGCCAGTCTTCCTGGGAAAAGTACGGTATTGGTTGGGGAGCTAGACGCTTCTGGAGTGCACTGAATTTCGGGTCAGGGGATTTAAGTGGGGGTAGGGAGAAACATGGCCTCTTTATTCCCCTCGCTCACGTTGTGGCACGGACCTGAGGCGCATGCAGACTAGGAGCAAACTAAGCTGCCTGGATGATCATGCAGCAGCTGCCTGCGGTTTCCCAAAGTATGATATATATTTTTTTAAATGGAAGAACAAACTCTGGGCACAGACTTGGATTGGTAGGGCAGAGAGTTGGCAGGGTTATTTTTCTCTGGGTGTTCTGAGGGGAGGGGCTCTGAGGCAGAAGCCTGCCATTCTTTAAAATTGTGTAGCTTTTGAGTAACTGACCATTCTTCTTTTTCAGCAGACCTCTGCCTCCAGAGCTTTTCTATGGGTGGTGAGCAGCAGGGTCCCATTTAACAGTAAGGCTGGACTTCTGCTCTGTAAGGAGACTTTCTGGGTGATTCTTGAGCACAAAGAAGTTTAAACCACCAGAGACCCTTCTCTGTTTTACTCATTGATGTATCCGGGTGCCTATGACAGCAACTGACATAGCTCATTCAATAAACGAAGGTCCAAAGTGTCTGAGGCACTTGGAGCCTCCAAGTATGGATATCTTCCACACCATGTAATCGGAAATGATGCCATAAAACAAGTATAACATGAAAGGGACACTGAAGTTTTGCCCCTCCAAAATAGGCCTTTTGGGATATTGATTTTAAACTCGTTATTAAGAAACAAAAGACTCAGAATTGTTGACCCTTCCCATTACCTGCTTAAAGGAAGGGGCGCATCACTTAGACTCATCATATAAACTAAACGCGGCAAAGAAAGGAATTTAGCAAATCCTGTTTGTTAAGCTTGCCTCGGTGTCCCATTAGCATGGGTGGCCCAGCAAAAATTTATTTACATGTTTGTTCTTTCTGCCTGTAGATGACCTGCTTCCCACTTGAAATCCTAAACCCCTGCCTCCTTCTCTTTTGTCCAAAATGGTTTACAATCCTCAACTGTTCAATGCATCTTCCAGTCTCATTCTATGGCACCCCTGAGTGTAATAAATTTTAAATGTTTTCTTCTGCTAATCTGTTTCATGTTAATTTGATTATTAACCTAGCAAGAACTTAGAAGGTGGGAGGAAAATTTATTTTCCTCGCCAATGTCATATCTCCCAAGGGACCTTCCCAGCTAGCTAGGCTGGGGGTAGGGGAATCTCTCCTATCTCTGCCCAACAGCCTTAGCAAATTGTCCCCACCTTAACTGGTCTCTCCCTGCCTATTTTTAACTGAAAAAGCTATGAGACCCGCCTCACATCTTGGCATACTTAAAAATTTTTTTAAAGGGATTAATAAAACTAATTAAGGTGTAAGTAGGACCCTAGGTCCAGCATGTGAGTAAATATCTCTGTGCTTCGCACCTGTCACTGAAGCTAGGAAAACTTATAAGCCATAGTTTTACTTGTTGGTAAAATGGCCAAGGGATAAAGTTTCCTTCCTAATCATTAAAACCACAGGAAAAAGAAGGCAAGCAAAATGCAGTCTAGCTCTTTAATATATTGTACTAGGACTGTATCTTATAATTTATTAAGAATCCATTCTATCCTTAATAGGAAAGAGGTTAAAAAAAACAGATAGACCTACACAATGGAATACTACTCAGTAATAACAAGGAAAAACTATTGATACACACGACATGAATCTCCATTATGCTAATGGAAAAAGGTAACCTGAAAAAATTATACTGTAGGATCCTCTTATTATATGACATCCAGGAAAAGGCAAAACTAAAGGAAAGGGGAACGAATCAGTGGTTGCCTAATTAGGGTTAGAAGTGGAGGGCAAGTTTAACTACAAAGGTTTAACTACAGGGAATTTTGGGGGGTGATGGAACAATTCTGTATCCTGATTGAAGTGATAATTATATAAATCTAGGCATGTGTTAAAATAATTCATAAAACTGTACCCTCCTCCCAAATAATGAATTTACTGTATGAAATTGTGTTTAAAAAGAATCCATCATAGGCTAAAGATAGTATATTCAATAAATGGTGTTGGGAAAGTTGGACAGATAAGTGCAGAAAAAGGAAACTAGACGACTACCTTTCTACACCACACACAAGAATACATTCAAAATGGATTAAAGACTTAAATTTTAGATCCAAAACCACAAAAATCCTAGAAGAAAACATTAGCAGTAAAACCTCGGACATTGCTCAGAGCAATATTTTGTCTGATATATGTCCTTGGGCAAGGGAAACAAAAGAAAAAATAAACAAATGGGACTACATCAAACTAACAGGTTTTTGCATAGCAAAGGAAACATCAACAAAAAAAAGACAACCCACTGAATGGGAAAATATATTTACTGATACATCTCATAAGGGGTTAATACCCAAAATTTGTAAAGAACTTATAAAACTCAACACCACAAAAAAGCCATCCAATTAAAAAATGGGCAAAGGCTCTGAATAAACACTTCTCCAAAGAGGACGTTCAAATGGCTGATATATGAAAAGATGCTCAATGTCACTAATCATCAAAGATATGCAAATTAAAACCACAATGAGATATCACCTCACACCTTTCAGAATGGCTATTATCAATAAATCAACAAACAAGTGCTGGCGAGGATGTGAAGAAAAGGGAACACTTTTGTACTGTTGGTGGGAATGCAGATTGATGCAACCACTGTGGAAAGCAGTATGGAGATGCTTCAAAAAATTAAAAACAGATCCGCTTTCTCACCCAGTGATCCGTCTTCTGGGAATGTATCTGAAGAAACTCAAGACACTAATTTGAAAGAACGTAAGCACTGTTTGTTTGTTACAGTGTTATTTACAGTCACCAAGATATGTAAGCAGCCCAAATGTCCATCAGCAGATGAATTGATAAAACAACTATGGGACATTTATACAATGGACTACTACTTGGCCATAAAAAAGAAAAAAATTTTTACCCTTTGCAATACCATGGATGGACCCGGAGACATTATGCTAAGTGAAATAAGCCAGTCAGAGAAACACAAATACCATATGATTTCACTCATATGTGGAATCTAATGAACAAACTGAACTAACAAGCAAAACACAGACAGACTCATAGATAGATGGCCAGAGGACAGCTAAGGGGGAAGTGAGGGGGTGGAGGAAGCAAGAGAAAAGAAGGACTCATGGACATGAACAACAGTTTGGTGGTTGTGGCAGGGGAAGGGAGGCCTAAGGAGGATAAATAGCAACAGGAAAAAAATTTAAAGAAAGTAAAAGAATCCACTGTACACACAGCATAAACTCATGAGGTCTCTCACGGCCCTGAGACAATCTCCTTTCCTTCAACCAGTTTATCAATGTGGGACATGGGAACACGTGGTGTAGGAAGGTGAGTGTGACAGTAGGAAACACTGCTATGTATGGTTTATGGGAAGTACGTCACAATGGTGCCAAATTTAGCATGTTATCAAATGGAAACCATTTTGTAAAAAATGTCTTTATTATAGTGCAAATAACTTTCAGCAGTGACATAATAATGTAAGAACATATTATGCACATTTTACACCACACAGTAAATAAGAAAGTGTTTCTTTGAAAATATCCGTCGGAGGAACATCATCTCTACATTAATGCCAGAAAATGCCAAGGCTGTTTCTCTCAAGGCAGTGGGGCTCCCTCCCTCTTTTTGGATATTTTCTTTTTAATACAAATGAAAAGATTTGCCATTTTAACAAATCACCATCAATTCTATGAGTGATCTGTTAGAGGGTTTTGAACTGAAGGTGGCAAGATTTGAAATGGGGTTTCAAATTTAAAAAATAATAATAAAGAACTTTAAGACAATTCTGGGATAGCCCAGAAGTAGAAGTCACTTCTATTGACTTTTATGCAGATATAAACATTCACTCCAATTTTGATGCAGAAATGGATAGATTGTCTAAAGCCTGCCTTTTATTCCCCCAGAGCCTGACTATTATAACACTGCTTGGTTTTGGTCACATTGCAAAAGAAGGCTCTGGTCAGAAATAACTCCTTACACACCCAGATGCTTTCCTGTGAAGCTTTAAATTGCACTTTGTATCCTGAATTCCCACCGTAGACCTCACATGCCAATGAGAAGGTGTGAACATCATTTGAACATTGTCTCTAGTTTATAGCTAATGATCAGTATTGCTGGGTTAGGCCCCTGCTAATTTACCTATATCTGAATCAAACTATCACATCATTTAGATTAATTCCAAGAGGCTTAACAAAGAGGTTCCCACTGACCTCATAGAGAAATGAAGGGTTAACAGCCCTCTTTACACTAAGCTGCCTAAGGGCTTGGCTGCTAACTGGTTAGCTGATAGGTGGAGAGTACAGAGTGTCAATTCCAATCAGTTACACTTCCAACTCCTCTAGTTTCTGCTGAATTATGCAGTGGGTGGGAATGGATGGCCACTCAAGGGAAACCTCCTGTGGGGGTCTTCCACCATAAGTAGAATCAAACCCCTACAGATACATTTCAAGATACCCTCCAAGTTTCTCTACAAACACTCCTCAAAATCTACTGGCTTTGTGAGCCATGAGAAGTTAACCACAGGCTTGAAAATACCTGGAGCCACAGAACAGCCCTCTTGGCTGAATATGGCTGATTAAGTCAGCTGGTCCATAAAGCTTTTCAATGCTCAGCCAGTCTTGTTTGGGTAAAGTATCTTCTTATATAACACAATGGAACTGTGCTAGACAGTTTCAAAGGTTAGAAGAATCCAAATATATCACCTATAAAAAATTTGAAATTTTAGTTTTCTTTTTCTTAGACTTTGGTACTGAAACACTATCTACATTCTCGACACGTGAAATGACATGGCCATTTCAGTGCCTCTGCATGTTGTGTAAAAAAACTCAAAAGCAAAGCTGGGCAAGGACACGTCATAATATGACGTGGTATGCTGTACAAACAAAACCTAAATTATACATAAATACACCCCCACCCCAGCACCCCTTTCTCCCCTTCCCCCCACTACCTGACCAAAACAATGCCAAGGGGCCTTCCCTCCAGGGCCAATGCCGTTGGAGTTTAGCACCCAGGACCACTACCATCCCTTGACTCTTGATGACACTGACAGCACTGCAGGCTCCCACTGGAGGGGCACTGTTGTCTGACCAGTTTCACAGGTGCAGGAATCTCCTACAGCTTAACTGGGAGCGTTCACACTGTTCGCTGGACTCAAAGACCTGGAGTTCTGGGGGTTAACCTTTCAGATAAACTGATCAGTTCACTTCCTAATCTGGAGCCTGTCTTATCCTAGTATCTCAGCAGAGCCAACCAACAAAATAGGAAGCATCTTCTACTCTGAAGCTGCAAAGGCATTGCTTAGGGATACTGGTGAGGGTCACGTAATAAAAGTGATATGATGAGCTAACAGCGTAAGTTGATATAAATTATTTGCAAGTAAGTTATTTGGGGTCATTTGCTTCCGCTTTACACTGCATTCCAGTATCATTTTCATATTATCTCCTTAAAAGTTTATATAATAGTCACTTAAAAATTGTCTATGCAATCACCTCTCATATGTTGTCAATTAGTTTAACAGCAACTTAAGGAGACATTATGTAAATCTAGGGAAAAATAGCTAGAGTATTTTTAAAAAGCCAATACTGTGCTAATTCACAGTAAGGAGAAAAAGCAATGTAAATATAATTTTACATTAATTATCAATAACTCAAAAAGCAGTTTTACCAAAATTCTGGAACGTCTTCCCAAAAGCACTTACAGCAATTTATATCAAGAGATCCTAAGTGCAGGGGTCTGGAGGATATGAGCCAATTCTTTAAGGCAGAAATCCACCTGTTTCATGACTGTGATATGTAGTTTCCCCCCTGGGACCTAAGATATTTGTACATTCAAAAGTTCTTAACTTGTTCTTCTTGAGATATTAATCATTCTCTAATACATATGTTGAGTATAAATAAATATGAGAAAGCTTTAAAACTCTGAATTAACATAATGCTATGCAAAAAAACAAAAACAGACAACCAAACAAACCTCGAACAGCCTACATTCCATGTAAATACCCTGACTAAGATGTTGGTTGTGCGACGCAATTCCACTTCAGTGCAGAATGAGTTGGCTTCGGCGTGCCGTTTTTGCTGTTATTTTGTCTTTAGCACTTTTGTTTCTAAGCATCACCTTCCTTTGAAGAGATAACTTGCTACCAAATCACAAATCATTACAAATCCACTTCAGTTTAGTCTGAATAAAATCCAGCATAAATGTATTACTTTGTTCTGGGAATAAGGGCTCGGTGTCTGTGCGCCAACAGCTTCTTAAGGGCAAACCTCGGCTGAAGTCATTTTGGGTTTAAACTGCAAAGAAGAGACAGTAGAGCTTGCCTTTTGTTTTTGTTTCCTTTTTAAGTCTCCAGATGTTGCCAAGACACTTCTTCCAGACCAACAGTCAGAGTTGTGGCACCTGTTCCTGTTTATGAAATAGAGGTGGTTTAAACATCAGCCGAGCTTAGTGATCTGGAGGTCCCCGTTTATCTTTATGGTGTCAATTGCAGATAACGTGTTAATGCGGTGGTAAAAATCAAAAAGTTGATGTCCATCCACAAACACTCTGAAACGTGGGTGCTCACAGAGAATTTCCACCTGGAAGAAATAAAATAATAACCTCAGTTCACAATTTCAATGAGCCCCACTGGGGAAAACAAACAAACAGTGCTTCGTTTTAGAGGAAGAAAGGCAACATCATCAGTGGTTCTCACACAGTGCAGTGCAGTGGAATCATACAGAGGCTTTGTTAGAACACAGATTGTTGGGCTCCGCCCCTAAATTTTTCAATTTAGTAGGTCTAGGGTAAGATCTAAAAATCGACATTTCCACCAAGTTCCAAGGGGATGCTGCTTTTGCTGGAAGGAGGAAAACACTTTGTCAACCATTGCTCTACACTATTCAGTATCTTTTAAAAATTAAAAATTGCTTATGCTTGAACATTTCTCCCTTCTCTTTGTACTCTAGAAAAGTGAAGGTAGCACAGCTTTATTTACATGGCACTTAATGCCTCCACTGTCATCCCTCTGAACAGTCTACCCCATCTTCAGAGGAGACCCTCACAATGCAGAACTGGTGCCTGTTAGTAGCATGTAATAATAGTGTAGACTCTCAAACCTGATAAACACTAAAGCAGACAGGTTACACAGTAATTACCATTGGAGCAAGGATGTGTAATTAACAAGGCTTTGTTAAGCCAAACAGAAATACTGATTCCATATGGTAAAAGCTTTTTCTTCCTCTTTTCATTAAGTAATTCACCATAGAGTTTAATCACTGGTTCTGTGCTGTATACTTATTAAAAGCATTGGTATTCACCATGCAAGGAGAGATTCCATATGTGATATTAGTCACATTTAATTCATATTGTTACTAAAATTATATCACCAAGAAGGGCTGACTTCATTTCAGTTTTGTTGTTGGGGAGCATTATATTCCTCTTGGCAGTCAGCAGCTCTGTCTACTCACGCTCATGAGTTATGCATTAAAATTCATAATTAAGAAACTGTCACAGTCAAGAGGAGCTGAAGGGACCATTACCATCCTAGAGGAAGGGATAATGACTAGGGGTGCCTTCCCCAGACTGTGATTAGAAGGACAACAATCTCAAGTCTATCACTGATGTGAAAAGTCATGGATTCTTATTCCCCCTCCCCCCAGACTGTAAGATGGAAAGAAAAAAAAATTCTTCATAAGGCCCTTGTAAATTTCTAGATGAATAGCAACAAGTAGGTAGTTCTGATTTATTAGTAGTATATGCAACACAGAGCTTTTAACTGAGTTGTTATTATTGTTATTTTTGTTAACCAGGAGTAATGTGGACAACTTCATCACCTGGTCTGACATTTCAGTAAATCCTTTATTAACACGTTACTGACTTGCATCTCTTACTTGGTATTGTCCTTCATAGAGGAAGGTGCTGATGCAGCTTAACTGGATGGGAAGTTTGGGCTATGCTTCTAGCCTGGGAGATAGTGGGGAGAAAATTTATACTCATCCCGGCCCACAGGAGAAATGTGTCAGCCACATAGTCTGTGACAATGAAACAGACTGAGGCTACTTAGCCCAGAGGGGGAAACAAAGACAGGGCCAGGGCTTGAGAAAATGAAATGATAACCACCACATTCTTTAAAAAGTCACAACTCATAAGGCTTAGTGCTACCTAAAGGCTGAGGGGGAAAATGGGGAAGATTAATATTTATTAACCAATCAGCTATTTTGAGACAGATACGTATTATATGCCTAGTCCTACAGTAAGTGTTACATGGAAAGGTATTCTTAACAGTCAGGACATGTAAATATGGATTTATTTACTGAATGTATTGGCTAAGCAGAGCAAGAGCTACTATGGCAAACATTGATTCATATCAACAGAGGTCTTTTGATCTTTTTTTCACCATCGAGTGACAAATTTCCTGGACATGCAAAAATTCTGGCTACTTAAAGTATTCTTGGCACATGTCAGAGGAGGAAAACATCATTGCCCTGCCAGTAGTTGGAGCTGAAGCACTCGAGGTACTCACCCTGAATGGCTGGTCGGGGATGAATGGAAAGTAAGGGATTGCTGACTGTTCTTCACCCCTTTCGCCATTTATACAAGAATTTCTGAGTAGCTGCCGGTCTGTGAACACAGCTTTGAGTTCAATTGCCACATCGGCTGGAGGATCTTCCGAGTCACCACAGGTCAAGCTGATGGCAAAGCTGGTAAGTAAAGATCTCATTTATTCAGGGTTGAATATAACAACATTTAACAATTACCCAATGTCCCACATTTTCTCCCTCTTCTCCGGGTTTGTCAGCTTTTGACTGGACACTACTCTTTACACAGGAGGTTCGACTAGCTATGGAGAAGATTAGGATCAAACCAGTCACAATATTTTGTTACTTGAAGGAGGCTCTGGTGGTGTTGAAAATGATAACATTTGGAATTCAAATACCCCAAACTACCCACACATCTGTATCTTAATCCATTTCAGAATTCTCAAAAACACCCCAAAAATTGACCAGGGGAAATAATATCTTATAAATTTGGTTCTCATTTATATTGATAGTTCTCGCTCCAAGCATCATGTTTAAAAACCATTTAAAAAAATTCTTTTGGCCTCCCCAAGGGTCAAAGAGAAAATGATGTGGGCCTATATTTATAATCTCTGATATAAATAGCTGTCTGGAGAAATGATGGCTGGGATTCATACACATTCTTTTCATGGGAACATGGTACTTTCTTGGCACTTCCAACTAGCAACACTGGCCACAGGGAGAGGAAGAGGAGGAGCAGTAAATAGCAGTGGGCAGAACCTTGTAACTGCCTGATAGCTTTGCCTTACCTCTCAGGGTTGAGGTCAACGATGCCCATCACTAACACCTTCTTGCCTGGTCTCATGCCCCCTTTGATATGCCCACAAAACGGAACTATCTGCAAAGGATGAAAAGGGAAACAGGACTTTTACAGCCTGTAAGAGAAGGGCCAAGCCCTCAGATCCTGAGGTCCTGACCCATTAGAAAATGCAATTAGAAAGGAACAGGATGCAGGCAGAGACACAGAGCACAGAACAAAATGATTTACCAGTCTTGGGAAGTACACGTCGGCTTGAACTGGAGAGCTCAAGGAGTTGTTTAAATGTCCACCATCTAGTTTCTAAAAATAGAATCACACATATTGTCTTTCCAAAGGCTCCTGTTTTGGGGAGTGGGGGTGCGGAGTATGGGAGAGTGCCAGGAAGAACCTACACAGATCTGCCAGAATCCAACAACCCTTACAGAATACTGGCAGCGTCTGCAGATGCTGCCGCCTCACTGTCCATTGAATAATCGCATAAACCCCCGGAACAAAACCCGTCCTTTCCAACTGGTAGCTAAGCCTCTGAAGATATCCAGACCCTTCAGATCTAGCTCAAAATCAAGGTCGAGGCACACCGGGAAGCCTGAGCCCAGCACAGAAGAAGGGCAGGCCCCTCTCCAACCTCAAACGCATTCGCACCCGCAGTCTCACAGGCCCGTTCTCCGGGACGTGGCTGGAGCAGAGCGGCCGCGCTCAACTTCTCTGGGGAGCAGCAGGCGCGGACCCATTTCCAAGGGGGAATCCCCAGTCGCGGGTGGACGCGAGGCGCGCGCCCCAATACACTCACGCACGCGCACCCACACACGTGCAACGTGCACACACCTGGCTGGGGGCTGCACGGCGCGAAAGAGGCTGTTAGTTACCCCCGTCCTGCCCCCAAACACCCTCGCCGCCAGCGGTGCCCCCGGCTCAGCCCGGGGCACCCCTCCCGCTCTCACGCCGGCCGCGCACAAGGGCTCTTGCTAACAGGTACCGGAGCGCCTTCCCACGGTGGGGGCGCCAGGCTGGGCCTCAGTTTCTCTCCGCCACAGCTCGGCTGGAGCAGACGGCGCGGCTTAGGGGACCTCAGGAAGGGGGCGCCTCGCGTGCTCCCAGCCACACTCACCACTACGGCATCACTGTCGGCCACCGATCCCGCCATCTTCTTGCAGAGCGCGGCGGACTGCACGGCTGGAGGCCGGGTGTCGGGGGACTAGAGACTCTGCGAGCCGACAGATCCCGGGGTAGTCCTGCGCCGGGCGGGGGCGCGGGTCCGAGAATGACTCGGGCGCGCGCGCGCGCACACACACACGGACGCGCGCGGGCGCGCGCCTGGGCCCCACGCCGACCCCGTAGGCAAGCCAGAGAGGTGGGGGAGGGGAGTTGGAGGCGGCGCGGGCCAGGAGGTCGGAGGTGGCCGCAGCCGCCCTGACCGCAGCTGAAGAGTCGGGCTGCCTTCTGCCTCAGGGTGCTGCTGTCGCTGCCCGAAGAAGAAGGGTGGCAAGGGCTGCACCGCGCCGGCCCTGGGCGGCATTTAAAGGCCGCAGGGGCCCAGCTTGGGAACCGGGAACAGGGCGGGGACCCGGCTGGGCTGCCGCGGCTTGCTCAGCTTGCTCTGCCTCTCGGCCATTGGACGTTGGCAGGAGGCTGGGGCGGGAGGGACGGGCCTGTTCGGGTAGGGGTGCGTGGGGGTGCCAGGACCAAGTCAGACCTCCTGGGAGTGAGGGTGGGTGGGGATGGGGAAGTGAGGGAGCTTACCAGGTGGCAGGTGCTTGTGACATCCCCGCCCCTCCCTTACAGCCAACCCCCTTCCTTCTCCCGCTGTATCCTGGGGCACGTGGGGCAGTGGAGGCCGAGGTCTATTGAAGACTGGAGGTGTGGGTGTTATTCCAGAGCTCGAGATTTCTTTCAGAGAACCGACCCCCCCAAAAAAAAGTGGGAGGAAAGAGCCTTTCAGCTCTCTAGGGTAGAAGGATAATGAAAGGTCTGTAGGTTTGCATAAGTAAATATTTGTCCCAACAGCCAGAGGCAGAGGGGATTCACGGTGGGCACTTTTATATCCCAGGGGATGAGATACAGAGCAGACCTCCCTCACCTGTGGAAGGATGGGCAAGCCTGGGGATCCCTGAAGGCTCTTTCAGGCAGGGATCTGGCTGAGTCTTACCAAAATTAACTGGGCACAGCGGCTGTCCTCAAAGAGCCTCTGTTTGGACCCTGATTTTTACAGGAGACCTGCCCGGTGTAGGATAATAAACTTGTCACTGAAAATCTTTGTGGAGTGATTTCCAGGAGGTGCACCCCTCTTTATTCCAAGGCACAAATTCCCTTATGGCTGGTCCACATTAAGATGATTATGTAACTTCTCAGATAAAGCTGTATCAACATACATAATGGTGACATCTTGGCTTAAACATTCCATTTTGTAGAATCATCAGGGTGTTTCACACTAATAAGTAGAGAGCACGTGTGACCTACTGCAATCCCAGAGGGGCCCTGCCAGCCACTGTTGCTGGCTGTGTGGCCTGGAACATCACTGCGGCTTTTGTGTCTTAGCTTTCCCTTTATGGACCAGAGCTAATTGTGGTAATCTCAGTAGAGTAGGGAGAATTACCTGCACACGCTTGTAAGCCACAGTCATCTGTGTGTTTTCTGAATTAGGCACTGAAGTGCTACACAGTTGTGGCTCACAGTTTTGCTCTTGTTTACCAATTTTAGCTCAAAATCACACTTAATTGATTACTTAAAAAATATTGGGCAGCTATAGAAAACTACTGAAATTTTAAAAGTGTACTTCGGGGTATATCAAGTTCTGAGAGCCAGGTGTCATTGAAGTTGTCATTAGCTAAGCTAAGAGTGACACAGTACATCATGATGGTTAAAGAGTGTGTGTCGTGGATTCAAATCCTAGCTCTGCTATTGACTAGCTAGGTGATTTGTGGCAAGTTACTAAACTCCCCTGTGAGTCAGTTTCTTCATCTTGGAGCCAGAAGCAACAGTGAAGGTGGTGAAGATAGTGCTTATCTCACTTGTTGGGGAGATTAAGTTGGGTCCTGTACCTTCCTTGGAGTAGTGCCTGACACGTAGTGAGCACTTACTACAAAAATATTAAGTGCCTGCCATGTGCCAGGCACTCGGGGTCCATCTGGGACATTTTTGGTTGAGCTTAAATTTGAGTGGGGAAAGGTAGCCAATAAATAAATATATAATATGTCAACTGGTAAAAGGTTTTAGATAAAAGAGTAAAGCAAGTAAGGTGGGAGAGAGAGTTAGACAACAGGACATAGGGTGGTCAGGGAGGCCACCTATGGAAAAGTGACGTTTGAGAAGATCCCTAAAGGGAGGGAGGGAGTCATTTGGAAGTCTGGAAGAAGTTGCTGGCAGAGGGAACTACAAGGGCCAAGACCTAGGGGTGAAATGTATGAAGAAAGTGTTGGGTGCAGCTGGGAAGTAATCGGAAATGGAATAGGCCGTGTAGACCATGTGAGGACCAGCTTTTACTCAGGAATGCTGGGCAGACACTGGAGGTTTCTCAGCAAAGGAGTGCCACAGTTTGTCTTCTGTCGTATATGCACGCCTCCCTCTGGCTGCTGTGTGGACTGGCCTGCCTTTGTGGGCAGGGTGGTGTGTAGGAGACAGGGCAGGATCAGGCCTTAGAGGCTCCAGCCCAGTTCAAGTGAGATATAATGGCAGCTTCGACACGGTGGACGTGGTGAAGATGTGAGAGGCCGAGGGCCCTTGGTAAGTCTTAGCTATTGTCATTAGGTAGCTTTGAAAGTTCATGTTGGCTTCTGAGCCTCAGTTTCCTCACCACACAGCTAAGGGGTTGGGCTCGTTCATCATTCCTTCTAGGCTCTGATGAAGTCCTTCCAGTTTCTGAAGAGCTGTGTAAGGAGCATCTACATTTAAATGGACTTGAGAGTAGATGCTGCTGAATGAAAATAATCTTGGATTCAATCTTTTGATAAATGATTTTGTGGGGTGAAGAATAACCCTTTGATTTATTTTGTAAAGGGATTTAAAGATATTTAGATTGCTTCAATGAGTTTCTTACATTTTGGGAATATAAGGAGTAGAATAAAAAGTACTAAACCTGCCCAGAATATTTTAACATGGAAAATTGCCTTTTATTCCAAAAATGCTCTATTTCTTCTCAATCTATGGAATGGTTCATTTTGAAAATGGAGAGCAGGGAGAAAGCCTAAATGAATATTTTGTTAAAATTAAAGCTAAGCGGAGTCAAACTACCCTTTACAGGGAAAAAGTCATTAGCAAATTAATGAATTATAGAACTTAAAAACATATTCCTAGTTGTACAGTGATGGATAGACAAACTTTGCTCTGTGCTTCAATTACAGGCTTTTGTGTCTAAAAACAATCACTGAGATTGTGACCCTTTTATGACATGCAACAGTAAAATTTCAATGCACTGCCTTGCTACTGGAAACTGCTAAAAAGGCCAAAGAAGGGGGGAGGCCGTCAAACAGATGACTAGCAATAAAAAAGGAAGCATAGCAGGTTTTTCAAAATAGACTTTGCCAAACGACTTTCCCAAATAGCAAGAGTAGTTCACTACCTTTTTCTTCCCTATTTAATGTTTTATTCAAATGTACACATGCAGAATTTCTTATTTGGGGAGGAGACTACAGCACTGACATTGATTCTGAAGCCATTCTATGAGCATTGCTGTGGGCTATGATACCATGGACCAAAAAAGAGATACTTAAAAATGCACAAGTCTTGTCCTTGAGAAGCTTACAGTTCACTCTGGCGACTGAGGCAGAAGGTAGTGGTGGGTAAAATAATAAAGGCCTCAGACCTATTGCCTTAGCACTGGGGGTTGGGGGTTGGTAGGTAGAGAAGGATTCACTCCCATTCGGAGGACTAAGTCAGCTTTCTGGAGGAGACAGCATATCTCTGACCACATGCATACCAGCAACTTCCAGAAAACCCACAGAAGCAAGTCTTTGAAGACCACATTGCAGCTCTGTTCATGGTCTGAATTGTAAACCTATTCTTCTCTTGACCTGGCAACCAGCTGAGCCCTGCTCCCAGAGGCTGCTTTTTGTCTCCTGCACTGGTCCAGGTAGACTTGGGCCTCCTTCCCTTGTACTGTCACTGTCTTCTTAGGCTTCCACTGGGACCTTATTCGCTAGGCTTGGCTTTGACCTTCAGACCACTTGCTTTCTATCTGTGTTTCTAGCCCATACACATGGGCTAGAGCTGAGGTTCTCAAACTCAGCAATGCTGACATTATAGGCTGGGAAATCCTTTATTGTGGGGACTGTCCTGTATATTATGGGATATTGAGCACTAGATGCCAGTAGTATCCCCCTTTTCAGTGTGACAACCAAGAAAGTCCTCAGAAATTAACAAATGTCGGGGGCGGGGGAGGGCATAGAACCAGCTATTCTCATTATTCATATTTATACATATGACATGAAATTTATTCAGTCTAATCTAGAGTAGAAATTTGCACATCAGAAAACCCCTTCCTTTTTATTTGCAAGTCATTGTTTCCTGGCGCAACACGAGCACTTCACAACGTTCCACAAAGAATTCCTGAAGTGAAGGAGGACCTGTGGATATAATGCCTTTGTAATATTCAAAAATTTGTGTGAATTTTGCATTCCGTTCCACAACATTGCCGTGTTTATTTTTGGTAAGAACATAATGTTCTCTCCACACCCATAAATACAGTAATATTAAAACATCACAAATGTTTACCTTCTTTATCCTGTGGTTTGACTTGCCACCCAGCCCAGACCCCGAAGGGTGGCTGTAGTACACTTTGAGGAACAGGGCACAGCACGGTTTTCCAGGCCAGCCAGGCTTCCAACTTTCCGTAATTGTTTCTGTCAGGCCAGTCTCTGCTCGTGATAAATATTCATGGAGGCCACAAAATATACAAACTCAGCACTCTTTTATTTACCTAGTTAGGTAGGAGGGTAAACATTTATCAAGTTATTTTCCTATCTTTCAATTCATGATTAAGGTTCTTAATTATTTTAGGAACAATGGTCATGGTTATCAAATCATTATGTTGGACATACACACAAATTGTGTTGTAGCAAAGTAATTAGGGGACAACCATAAAACTTGGCAGTCAATGCCAGCTCCTAACATTTCATTATTTTCGGTTTATTTATGAGGAAACTAGAATCAGCCTCCTGCTTGTGTTTTAATTACTTAGCGCAGGAAGGATTGATTTCAGAAAACCTCCACGCTGAAGAATAATGAGCCTATTCCCGGGAGGAGTTCAAGGCTTCAAAGGCATGTGCTGCTTCCTGCCCCAGGGATGTCACTGTGGGCCCATTAGCGTGTCTGAGACATCGACAGAGTGCACCCCCTCCGGAGAAAGCTCACTCCTGTAAAAGGTAACGAGAACCCTCGATGACGATGACAGGGAAGCAGGGAGCATTCTGCTCAGCTCAGGGTAACAGAAGGGACACTGCTTCCAGCTTTCGGAACTGGGGGCATGAATGAAAGATATTTTAAGGTTCTTTCCAGCAGGGCTTTGTGCATCTACTGAGAGCCAAGATGTGTTTCTTCTGCGCCTTCTCCCCAGCCTCACCTTTCAGGGATCCCA